TCTTTTTCTAAAAGAACTCCCCAATGGGCTTCGGCCCGTCCCGCCGGCCACCCGCAAGTTTCCGAAAATCCATCTGTCAATGCCTTTGTTGCCCCAACTTGGCCCAAGATGGCCTCCAAGACGGCCAAGATGGCCCAAGATGGCCTCCAAGATGCTTCCAAGACGGCCAAGATGGCCTCCAAAACGGGTAAGATGGCTCCAAGATGCACCCAAGACGGCCCAAGATGGCCTCAAGATGGTCTAAGACGGCCCAAAAGGCCCGCAAAAGGCCTCCAAGACGGCCCAAGAGCCCTCCAAGACGCCCTCCAGGAAGGCCCGAATAGGTTAAAATCATTGATTTTCCTTAGGTTTTTCAAGGATTTTGGCATGTTCTTCTTTTCAGCTCTCCGACGGCCCAAGACGGCCCAAGAGGTCCCCAACATCGCCCCAACAGCACCCAAGAGGCCTCCAAGATGGCCCCATGACGGCCCAAGAGGCCCCCAAGAAGGCCCCAAGAGGGCCTCAAGACGGCCCAAGAGGCCTCCAAGACGCCCAAGATGGCCTCCAAGACGGCCAAGATGGCCCAAGATGGCCTCCAAGATGCCTCCAAGACGGCCAAGATGGCCTCCAAGACGGGTAAGATGGCTCCAAGATGCACCCAAGACGGTCCAAGATGGCCTCAAGATGGTCTAAGACGGCCCAAAAGGCCGGCAAAAGGCCTCCAAGACGGCCCAAGAGCCCTCCAAGACGCCCTCCAGGAAGGCCCGAATAGGTTAAAATCATTGATTTTCCTAAGGTTTTTGAAGGATTTTGGCATGTTCTTCTTTTCAGCTCTCCGACGGCCCCAGACGGCCCATGAGGTCCCCAACATCGCCCCAACAGCACCCAAGAGGCCTCCAAGATGGCCCCATGACGGCCCAAGAGGCCCCCAAGAAGGCCCCAAGAGGGCCTCAAGACGGCCCAAGAGGCCTCCAAGACGCCCAAGATGGCCTCCAAGACGGCCAAGATGGCCCAAGATGGCCTCCAAGATGCCTCCAAGACGGCCAAAATGGCCTCCAAGACGGGTAAGATGGCTCCAAGATGCACCCAAGACGGCCCAAGATGGCCTCAAGATGGTCTAAGACGGCCCAAAAGGCCCGCAAAAGGCCTCCAAGACGGCCCAAGAGCCCTCCAAGACGCCCTCCAGGAAGGCCCGAATAGGTTAAAATCATTGATTTTCCTTAGGTTTTTGAAGGATTTTGGCATGTTCGATTTCTTAGGTTTTGGTTTTGGTTCTTTTCCCAAACGAACTCCCCAGTGGGCTCCGGCCCGTCCCGCCGGCCACCCGGAAACTGCATCAGTCAATGCCTGAAACGGCCGTTTCGCTCGGGACATCCTCAAAAATCGCGAAGATGGCCCAAGATGGCCTCCAAGTCCGCCCAAGATGGTCCAAGGCGGCCTCCAAGACGGCCCAAGAGAGTCCAAGACGGCCCAAGATGGCCCAAGAGGCCCCCAGAGGCCTCCCAGACGGCCCAAGAGGCCTCCGAGAGGTCCTCCAGGAGGGCCCGAAGAGGCCCAAAGCATTGATTTTCCTTTGGTTTTTTAAGGATTTTGGAGGCCTCCAACACGCCCAAGATGGCCTCCAAGACGCCCAAGATGGCCTCCAAGACGGCCCCGAAGCGCCCCAAGAGGGTCCCCCGTTGGCCCCGATAGGCCCCCAAGACGGCTCCCGACGGCGTCAGACGTGCCAGGAACCCACCAAGGTGGCCGAAGTTGGCTCGAAGCTGGCCCAAGACGGCCCAAGAGGCCCCCAAGAGGGCCTCCAGGAAGGCCAGAAGAGGCCAAAAACATTGATATTCCTACGGTTTTTGACGGATTTTGACATTTCCTTCTTTTCGGCCTTCCGACGGCCCGAGACGGCCCAAGAGCCCCCAATGATCGCCGAAAGATCGCCCAAGAGGCCTCCAAGACGGCCAAGATGACCTTCAAGATGCCCACGTGTTCCCCGAAGGCTTTCCAAACCGATTCGGGGAACACATGGTCCGATGGCTTGGCAGGTCTGGCCTCAACGTTCGGCCACATAGGCGCTTCCGAAAAGGCAGGGGGCGGCGGTGGTTCGCCGTAGGCGTCTTCGATCCGCCGCCCCCCTTTGGCTTACCATAGGGGTGCCCAGCGTGCTAAATCCTATCGCTCTTGGTTTGGGTTCTTTTTCCGAAAGTGCTCTCCCCTGGGGCTTCGGCCCGTCCCGCCAGGGTGCCCCTCTCGTCGGCTTTTTTGCTTAAGATGTCTCAAGGTGGCGTCCAAGATGGCCAAGATGGTCAAAGATGGTATCTAAGATGCCTCCAAGACGGCCAAGACGGCCTCAAGATCGTCCAAGGCAGACTCCCAGACGGCCCAAGAGGGTCCAAGGTGCCTCCAAGTCGGCCCAAGAAGCCTCCAAACGGCCCAAGAAGCCCCCAAGAGGCCTCCAAGACGGCCCAAGAGGCCTCCAAGAGGGTCCCCGTGAAGACCCGAAGATGCCAAAATCAGTGATGTTCCTCCAGTTGTTGAAGGATTGTGGCATTTGCTTCTTTTCGGCCCTGGAGCACCCCAATAGGGCCCCCAGTCGGCCCAGAGAGGCCCTCAAGACGGCTTCCGACGGCGTCGGATGGGCCAGGCATGCCCTGAGACGGCCAAAGAGGCCCCTGAGAAGCCCCCAAAGGCCCCCAAGAGGCCCAAGGAGGCCCCCAAGATGCATCCAAAAGACTCCAAGGAAGCTCCCAGGAGGCCCCAAGATGCCCCGTCCTCCTCCTCCTCCTCCTCCACCTCCTCCTCCTCCTCCTCCTCCTCCTCCTTCTCCTCCTCCTCCTGATCTTCCCCGCCGTCCTCCCCCAAGGGTTCCCCGAAGGGTTTCCACAACGGTTTGAGGAAGACATGGTCCGATAGCTTGGCAGAGCTCTTGCCACAACGCTCGGACACATGGGCGATTTCAAACCTCTTGCTCCCCCTCGCGTTCCCCGAAGGCTTTCCAAACTGACTCGGGGAACAACTTGCCCGATAGCTTGGCCAAGTTCTAGCCCAGCTGTCGGCCACATAGGCGGTGATTCGCCGTGGGCGTCTTGGATCTGCCGCCCCCTGTTGGGTTATCACAGGGGTGCCGGGCATGCTAGACTTCATCAGTTTTTTGGTTCTTATTATAACTCCCCCTGGGGCTTCGGCTCAGCGCGTCAGCCACCCATCAGGACCCCAAACGACCTCAACGTCCACAAAAATCCCCCAAGACGGCTCAAGATGACCTCCAAGACGGCCAAGGTGGCCCAAGATGTCATCCAAGGTCGTCCAAGATGGTCCAAGATGGCCTCCAAGACGGCCCAAGAGGATCCAATATGCCTCCAAACTCACCCAAGAAGCCACCAAGACAGCCCAAGATGGCTCCAAGATGGCCCAAGACGGCCCTAGAGGCCCCCAAGAGGCCTCCAAGACAGCCCCAGGGGCATACAAGAGGTCCTCCAAGAAAGCCCGAAGAGGCCAAAATCCGTGATTTGCCTTCGGTTTTTGAATGATTCGGGCATTCGCTTCCTTTCGGCCTTCCAATGGCAGGCCGCCAGTATCGCTCCCAGAGCGCCGCAGAGGCCTCCAAGTTGGCCCCAGGACGGCCCCAGAGGCACGCAAGACGGCCCCCAAAAAACCCCAAGACGGCCGAAGCGGCGACGCCCAGGATGGCCTTCAAGACGACCCTGAAGCGCCCCAAGAGGACCCCAAGACGGCCCAGAGAGGCTCCCACGACGGCTTCCGACGGCGCCAGACGGGCCAGGGACACTGCAAGACGGCCAAGGAGGCCCCCAAGCTGCCCCCAAAGGCCCCCAAGCGGGCCAAGATGTCCCCAAGAGGCCTCCGAGAGGTCCCCAGAAAGCTCCCAGGAGGTCCCAAGAATGACTCAAGAAGCTCCCAAGAGGTCTCCTCATCCTTCTCCTCATCCTCCTTTTCCCTCCCTCTCCTCATCCTCCTCATCCTCCTCTTCGTCCCCACGTGTTCCCCGAAGGGGCTTCTACAACTGCTGGGGGGACGCATAGTCCAATAGCGTGGCCAGACTTTGCTCAAACGTTTGGCCACATAGCCGTATCCTAAAAGGCAAAGGGCGGCGATGATTCGCCGCAGACGGCTTCGATCCGCCACCCCCATGGCCTGCCGGAAGGGTGCCGGCGTGCCGTCTTCTATAGCATTTTCTGGGCCGTCCAAAAAGTTCCGAATGGCCTGCGGCTCAACCCGCCGCCATCCAGAAATTCAATATCCTTTGGATTGCCTTCTCCATCCAAAATGGCTCCAAGATTTTTACAATTTGCACAGAAGTCCGTGGATCCGTCCCCACCGTGCCCTCACAATGAGGCGTGTGAATCCGCCACCGTGGCGCGAGGCAATGAACGGAATGTCCTGAATACATACATGCCACTTTTTACCTGCGAGCCCCAGACATGCCTCCCAGAATCCCTGGGACGCGTGGCTCGGAGTCCACACTTCCAACATGTCCTGAGATGGCCCCAGGGTTCCGAACTGAACCTCTTTTCGACGCCTCCTGGGCCGTCTTGGAGGCCCTACTTCGCTGAGAATATCCTGCGTCGTGGGTCCCTGTGCACGGTCGTGCGTTGATGCTGGTTGCTGCGCTCCTGGAAGTGATCCTTTATGATCGCTGCTGGATTGGGTTGTATGTATGTGAATTGCGTTGCGTTGCAAGGCGTTGACCTGCTCTGCTTTGCGTTGCGTTGCTTTGCTCCGCTTCAGCCTAGTCTGCTTACACTTCTACACGTTGTGAAGCGTTGAGTTGCCTTGTCTAGGTTCGATTGCTGCAAAGAGCCCCGCTGGGGAAGTAGCAACCCCTGCAACCTTGTCCCAGCTCAGACCATAGCCCTCAGCGCAATCCACACAATGGATGATCCCTGATGCCCCAGATCTGAACGTCGCTCCAGAGACTAACTGACCATGCGACGACGGGGTCAGCTACCCGAAATCAACTGTTGCATGTGCCATCGCTCCCGCCCGTCCTGGAAAGGTTGACAAAAAACGTC